CCTTGCTTCTCCAGGGGCAGGGGTCTCTGCTGTTTATCTGAGGCCGGCGCTTTACAGAAAAAAACAAACTGTTTTAACATGGGCTGAAGCTGGGGTGGTGATGTCATGATTGTTTATGGGTGTGTGTGCCCGGGTGTGCCAGGTGTGGTTGCATCTAAGTGTGTGTGTGAATCTGAGCAACTGTGACCCTGTGCATGCTCTGACCTGCTGTGTGAGTGTTCACAGCCAGCTGCGTCTCTGTGGGTGATGTGCTTGGTTGGTTGTATGTTCACCAGTTGTGTATTTGCCTGTGTGGTTTTCCCCTTGTGGTCCTTGTGGGTACGTCAACCCATGTGATTGTCCTCATTCTAACCCAGTGAGGTCCTTCAGTCCCTGGAGTGTCCTCGGGTGTTTGTGGGGTTGTGGCCACCACTAGCATCTGAGATGAGAAGGCCAGGTGGGGCTGTCCTCAGCCCTGGAGGAAGGAGCTTCCTCTGTGGCCTGTCCTGCCACCAATCTTCTCCCCTACCGCTGGCCCCTGCCACCAGGAGGAGGAGAGGAAGCCTCTTGGGGAGCCTGAGCACAGGATGCTTCTGCCCTTAAGAAAGGATGGGGTGGAGAAGCTGGGTGTTAAAGAGGGGAAGGGCTGCTCCTCCTGTTTCATACAAAAGGTGAGTGGGATGCTAAGAGAGAGATGGAGAGAAACAGCAGGTGAAACACGGACTTTGAGGGGGCCAGAGGTGGGAGTCTCAAGCCGCTGGTCCAGGGCCTGAGGGCTCAGGAGCAGGATTCAGGAGCCTCAGGCCCTCCTTGGGTGGGAGTGGGAGCCAGACCCGGTCAGATCTGGAGTCCTGGGCTTGAGGTGAGGCTGATCACCTTAGGGGAGTTATTTTCCTCTCTAGATTTTCATTTTCTCCCACCTTGGTCCATGGACATTCTGGGGCTACTGGTTTCTTAATCTATAAGCCTGGCCTAACCCCCCAGGGCCCTCCAGCAGCAGTGAGATTCCCCCCCTCCCCCCATCCTAAACTCCTCCTGCCCTCCCTCTCCTGGTGACTCATAATTTTCCATCTTCAAGAAAGAACAAACAGAGACTGGATTTTGGCCTGTCTAGGAGCAAAGCCCATGTGGCTCTGTAAGGGGTGTTTCCCTGTGAGTGTGTACTTTCGTGTCCTGTCCATGTGCTGATGTGGGGGAAGGGGCTCAGCCCTTAGGTTTAAGGCCAACTTGGATCAAGGCTAATCTGCTAGGTGCTCCCCAGCAAGCAGAGAGTATCAGTGAAATGTAAACACACATCTGTATTTCCTGTATTTTGTTGAGAACTTTCTGTGTGGGAGCCTGGTCCCCCACTGTGGCTCTCCTCCCCACTATCCAGATGGATCACCTGGGTTTGGCAGGTTTCTGGCATCTTGTTCAGCAAACATTTATTAGCCACCTACTGTGTGCCAGGCCTGTACTGGGGACACAACCATGGGCAAGCAGGTGCTCACAGGATGATGGTGGAGACAGACTCATACAATCTGGAGAAGGCTTCTGATGCAGTTTTGGAGGGTAGGGTGTGAAGAAGGACTGCTTGAAAGAGGTGATATCTAAGCTTAACTTGAAGAATAAAGAGAAATCAGCCAGAGAGAGAACAGGGAAGGGTATACCAATTAGATGGAACAGATTGTGCAAAGCCTCAGACTCAAGAGGATCAAGTGTACAAGGAGCTGAATACAAACCAGTGTGGCTGGAGAGTGGGAGGGGAGACTCCTTATTCATTTTCCAAGCATTTACTTAGAACCTGCCTGAAGGCACAGCTGGTAGCAAGGCAGACGTGGTCCTACTTTTGAGGGGCTGGTGGGCAAGGCAGAAACAAATCAAAAAATCATGACAGTAAATGTGAAACTGTACTTGTGAGAGAAGGGTGCTGAGAGTATTTACCCAGCTGGTCAGGGAGGGCTTCCTGGAGGAGTGATGTTCCAGCTGTGACCTGAAAGATGAAGGGTCAGCAGGGTAAAAATGTTCGGGCAAGGGCATATGGTGAGAATGAGCTGTTCCTGATTCAAGGAACAGCAAGGAGCAGGATGATGCTGGAGCAGAGTGAGCCAAGAGGAAGAGGGTGGGGAGGCCAGCAGGAGTCAGGCATCACAGGGCCTCCAGAGAGGCGTGGATTCAGATAAGAGGGCAATGAGGAGCCACAGGAGGGTCTGGAGCAGAGGAGGGTGAGATCAAACTCATGAGAGCATCTACACACATGACATGGCACCCACTCTCCTTTCTCTCTTCAGACTCTCCATGGAGATGTGGGGAAGTCATTTCTCCTTTCCAGTTTGTCTGTAAAATGGGCACAACAGCACCCACATCCTGTCTCCCTGGGGCCATCTGGTGGCAGAAGAGAAAAGTGCCTGCCCAGGGCGGGGATGCGCAAATAAGGGAAATCAAGAGACAGTGATGTGCTTAGGGCACCAGAGACTGCTGGGCACCTCCTCAGGTCATGCAGCACACAGGGACAAAGTCAGGATGGGGATCCTTGGGTCCACCCATCCTTTAGCCTCTGCCCCTTACCTGTCAGGGTTTGGGGCCACCCAAGGCTATGCAGGCCAGGTTCCAGTGCTGAGTCTCAGCTCTGTATCTCCATCCAAAAAGCTATTAATAACACATTACTGTTAAAACTGTTAATAAAATATTTAAGGTTGAATCTATTAATGAAACATTAATATTAAACTATTGATAAAACATTAATGAAATCTGGGACTCCAGAGGGGATAGAGCCAGTTAAGCATTAAGTGGTAGAAGGCACAGGCTGGGTAGCCTGCTGTGGCTGTGACCTTAGGCAACTGAACACACCTCTCTGTGCCTCAGTTTCCCCATCCCCAAAATGAGCATAATAGACCTCATTTTCTTTCTTTCTTTTTTAATATATTTTTACTGGTTTCAGGAAGGGAGAGAAACATCAATGATGAGTCATTGATTGGCTGCCTCCTGCATACCCCCTGCTGGGGTTTGAGCCCACAACCCCGGGCATGTGCCCTGACTGGGAATCGAACCTCAATCTCTTGGATCCTAGGTCGATGCTCAACTGCTGAGCCACGCTGGCTGGGCAATAGTCCTCATTTTCAAGGGTTGCTCAAGTAGCTTTTATGTGCACAGCTCTTGGCTCAGAGCCAGGCAAGTAAGTGCTATTTGTATTAATGTGTTTAGTCTTAACCATCCATTTCATGTCTGTGACTTTAGAGGAGGGATTGAATCCCTCAGTTTCTCCTTGGGGACATAAAACTATTACAAGCCCCTCCCATGGAGCTGGGGTGGAGTCAAGGCTCCTGGGAGGGATCCTGGCCCCAGTGTCTCCACCAGGCTGATTCTGGCAGCCTCTATCCCCTGGGGATTGGCTATAATTAGGTGCAGCCACAGCAGCTACAGATGGTATTTTTGTCTTGGGGACAGCGAGTCTGGTTCCCACCAGGTGTCTGGTTGTAGGGTCGCAGATGGCAGGAAGGGGTTCCCAGACAGACCCTTGAGACTCCTTGTCCTCCTGGGCCCCCAGCATGACCCCTCTCTGAACCTCCATTTTCCTCATCTGTACAATGAGGCTACTAGTGTGGTTAGAAGGTCAGGAGAGGGTCAGTGTCTCCTCCCTGTGGTGCCTCAAGCTCCCCCTATTGAAGCCCTGATCACCCCAAACTGTATCTCATATTTCCTTAGGTGTGCCAGAAATGTGGGTACCCCACAACTGATATAGTCCCCCCAGGGGCAAGGCCCAGGCAGTGGGGGGCAGGGGTCCAGCCTCCCTGAACTTCAGTGGCCTCTGCCTGTGATGTGGGCATTTGGGTCCTGACTCCAAGTGTGACATCCTCTGTGATTTGGTTTCCTTTCCTACAGTACAGGGCAGGGCCACCAACCCCAGCATTCTGAGGGAAGAACACCTGGTATAGACCCTGAACTCCCCCAGACACCAGAGGTGAGGGCTCCCTTTCCAGCCCCCCCCCA